AATTTTAGGATTCTTTAAAACAACTTCTATGGGATGCATACTTGTTTAAGAAAACTTCACACAAAGCTCTTGCCAGATTTTTTACACTATTGAGAAGCAAATATTTCTTCTCACTAAAGTCTAATTTGTGAGCTAGTTGAAATATTGCGGATTATTATACGCTGAATGCATAATTGCGCTGGGATCAATTTACAAAAAAGTGCACATACTAGACTAATTATTAAAATGAATTATGCTTAAATGTCAGAAATAAAAATGTATGGAGTTGTAAGAAGCTTGGCTTTTTGTTCGAAAATCTGAAGTTTCAAGACATTGCATCCATAAGTGACTTACTAGATGAATCCTTATTTATGAATGCTAATACACGACTGTAAACAACTAAAATACATTACATTGATATTGAAAATTCTATTATTTTGTTATGAAGTTGTGTATTTATTTGTCTCCCTCTAAAAGGAAATAGTAAGAGACGAGGAACAGGAAATGTAATTAGATCAGAAGTGCTCATTTTTGTGGTCGTATTAGAAAATGAATTAGAAATGTGTTGTATTTTTGCTTACTAATTTTACAGGGTGTAGTTGAAGCAATGAGCTGGTTCAAGTTATTTTTATCTTTAACAACTATAGCAGAAATTAGCAAAATCATAAAATTAGTCATATTTAGAAGTTTGAAACATCTCTTTCAAACCACCCGATATTTAAAACAAACAAAGAAGGCCACTTTAATTTAATAGGATGTATATGTGTGTGTGGCCAATGATGGGGCTGTTCTGAGAAATTGTTGGTGACTTACTAATAACAATTTATGCAACTAAAATGTAATTGAAAACAAGAATGGTGATTCCTATTTAAAAAGAACAATATCTTAATACAGGTTTTGGAGTTTATAGCAATATAGTTGTGTGTTTTAGTGCTGTAGAGCTCTGGTATACACTTAGAAACACCAACAATGTCGAACTCCTAGAAAAGAATAACATTAGGAGAGAAAGGAGGGAGAAAGGGATTTGGTCTCAATGGGAACTGTTCCTGCTAAATAGTGAAACTTGGGAAAAATATCTGTTCTTTTTAGAAATCTGACATATTTTAGAAACTGATGCTTCTAGACTGCACATGTAAGTAAAGATCTAAAAGTGCTTCTTAATTATTATCAATTACGCTTAATTTCACCAATTTGTATTGCCTTACTTACTAAAGGTATCCAGAAAAATATCAATCTGAAGTAGATAAATAGAAATAACAGAAACCTTACCTTCGCTAGTAGGGTCTGTTGATGTTGTGGTGGCTTCTGAAAATTAAGTGAAAAGTAATTTTAGTATTCTTTAAAACAACTTAATTACTAAAGGTATCCAGAGAAATGTCAATCTGAAGTAGAAAAATAGGAAGAACAGAAACATTACCTTCGCTAGTAGTGCCTGTTATTGCTGTGGTGGCTTCTGAAAATGAAGTGAAAAGTAATTTTAGGATTCTTTAAAACAACTTCTATGGGATGCATACTTGTTTAAGAAAACTTCACACAAAGCTCTTGCCAGATTTTTTACACTATTGAGAAGCAAATATTTCTTCTCACTAAAGTCTAATTTGTGAGCTAGTTGAAATATTGCGGATTATTATACGCTGAATGCATAAATGCGCTGGGATCAATTTACAAAAAAGTGCACATACTAGACTAATTATTAAAATGAATTATGTTTAAATGTCAGAAATAAAAATGTATGGAGTTGTAAGAAGCTTGGCTTTTTGTTAGAAAATCGGAAGTTTCAAGACATTGCATCCATAAGTGACTTACTAGATGAATCCTTATTTATGAATGCTAATACACGACTGTAAACAACTAAAATACATTACATTGATATTGAAAATACTATTATTTGGTTATGAAGTGGTGTATTTATTCGTCTCCCTCTATAGGGATTTAGTAAGAGACGAGGAACAGGAAATGTAATTAGAACAGAAGTGCTCATTTTTGTGGTCGTATTAGAAAATGAATTAGAAATGTGTTGTATTTTTGCTTACTAATTTTACAGGGTGTAGTTGAAGCAATGAGCTGGTTCAAGTTATTTTTATCTTTAACAACTATAGCAGAAATTAGCAAAATCATAAAATTAGTCATATTTAGAAGTTTGAAACATCTCTTTCAAACCACCCGATATTTAAAACAAACAAAGAAGGCCACTTTAATTTAATAGGATGTATATGTGTGTGTAGCCAATGATGGGGCTGTTTTGAGAAATTGTTGGTGACTTACTAATAACAATTTATGCAACTAAAATGTAATTGAAAACAAGAATGGTGATTCCTATTTAAAAAGAACAATATCTTAATACAGGTTTTGGAGTTTTGTAGCAATATAGTTGTGTGTTTTAGTGCTGTAGAGCTCTGGTATACACTTAGAAACACCAACAATGTCGAACTCCTAGAAGAGAATAACATTAGGAGAGAAAGGAGGGAGAAAGGGATTTGGTCTCAATGGGAACTGTTCCTGCTAAATAGTGAAACTTGGGACAAAATATCTGTTCTTTTTAGAAATCTGACATATTTTAGAAACTGATGCTTCTAGACTGCACATGTAAGTAAAGATCTAAAAGTGCTTCTTAATTATTATCAATTACGCTTAATTTCACCAATTTGTATTGCCTTACTTACTAAAGGTATCCAGAAAAATATCAATCTGAAGTAGAAAAATAGAAATAACAGAAACCTTACCTTCTCTAGTAGGGTCTGTTGATGTTGTGGTGGCTTCTGAAAATTAAGTGAAAAGTAATTTTAGTATTCTTTAAAACAACTTAATTACTAAAGGTATCCAGAAAAATGTCAATCTGAAGTAGAAAAATAGGAAGAACAGAAACATTACCTTCGCTAGTAGCGCCTGTTATTGCTGTGGTGGCTTCTGAAAATGAAGTGAAAAGTAATTTTAGGATTCTTTAAAACAACTTCTATGGGATGCATACTTGTTTAAGAAAACTTCACACAAAGCTCTTGCCAGATTTTTACACTATTGAGAAGCAAATATTTCTTCTCACTAAAGTCTAATTTGTGAGCTAGTTGAAATATTGCGGATTATTATACGCTGAATGCATAAATGCGCTGGGATCAATTTACAAAAAAGTGCACATACTAGACTAATTATTAAAATGAATTATGTTTAAATGTCAGAAATAAAAATGTATGGAGTTGTAAGAAGCTTGGCT